GGGGTCCCCCCCCCCCCCCCCCCCCCCCGGTTCTCTTCAGCGATAAAAGACAGTCAGTCGGCGATCCATCACGGTTTTCATAGGGCTGGTTGGCCAGGGGTGGGATAGGTGAATAAGGGTGGGAGCCAGAGAAGGGGAAGTGACGGATTGAAAACTAAAGGTATTATGCCCAATCAGACATATGATTTAGTGAACCGTGATGCTTGGATGAGGCAAGTAAAGAGGTACAAAGATGAGAATATCCAAAGAGTTGGAAGAGGTGGTTGATCGTGAAGAGCAGAAGAGAAGTGGAAGATTGCGCCAAAGGCCTGGAGTCTCGGGGGGCCTGGGTTTATACGTAGGTACCTCTATGCACGCCCCGTGGTGCCCAGACGGGGTCCCAACCAGCCATCGGCCTATCACTTTGGGAATGCCCTCAGCTCCTTCTGTGCCGTGGTGGCTTGCTTCTGCTTGCATGAGGTGTGCCTTCTGGCTACACAGCCTGCTTCAGTTCTTTCCTTTCATGTGGGGTAGAGAGTAGGTGTGGGGTGCAGGGCACATTCGGTTGCAGGCTGCGCGGCAGTCGGTCCCAATAACATCAAAGGCAACGTGAATGTGCTTTACTCTTTTGGATGTAAACTTGTCCATAAGGCTCAAGATCAATGCCAAGTAAATCCATATGCCATCAGCTGGGAATATCCACGTTGTCCGGCATACAAAAGATCCCGTAAGGCTGGGCTGGGCAGGTTGATGGGTTAGGTGAGACATGATACCTCTCGATTATCAGACCACCTGAGGCTTCTGTGGCGTTTTTCCCTTGTCCTCCGTCTATCCCCTGAATTATCGCACCGTGTGTGATTAGAGCAAATGTCCCTTCCGGCAAAAAAACCACAAGATCAGTTTGGTATATGGTTTATTCTGGTATGGCCGGGTAACATGCAAAAGATGACACCAATGAAGAGTTTAAACATGTAAACAGAAGGGGTATGAAAAGCCACGCGCAGAACCCCCCAAAAAGACAAAATAAACCAGCGCCGTCATCAAATCTCCCAGACACACCTATCCTATCCTATGCCCACTATTTCCAACGCCAGCCAAAAACAGGATTCCCTCTTCTCAAAACAAACAGTTATGCAAAGGAATTCAAAAAGCGGGGGTATCATCAGTTCATGATCCGTAATCGGAGAAAATGAATGCTTGATGCCATATTCGCCATATCATCAGTGGCTTTAACGAGCACCCTTAAGGATCTCACGAGGTCCACTGCGCCACCCTCCCCCACGTCCGCACTGCCGTAGTCGCCATAACACCCACCCAGCCCAACACGGAGAAGATCTTCAAAAACTCGAGTGGATGTCTTGCGCGCACCTCCGTCTCCAAATGGCCCTCGTGACCTCCCTCCTTGGTTGCCGGACTAGGCGGGAAGCGGCCGGTGGTGAGGTACTGTTCCATCAGCGCATCCTTTTCGTACCAGCGCTCGCGCAGCCAAACGTCGAACTCCTCTTGGTTTTCGAGCGGGATGTCGTCTACTGCGAATCGGCGCCAGTAAAAGTTGACGGATTTGGGAGGTTGGCCGCGCAAGTAGGTGGAGGAGAGGGTGAAGAATTGGTCGCCGTACATGCCGCGGCTGGTAAGCAGGCAGAGTTAGTGAGAATTATGGAAAAAAAAGAAGAAAAAAAAGGAAAGAAGATAACTTACGGAACGCCTTCGTAGGCAACGGTGCAGTCATAGACATAGTCTACCGTGCCCTTCAACTCCTTTAGACAAAAGTACATTCCCGTACTGCGCGGCAGGAGGACGTGCTCCGTGTCCTTGATTCCCATCTTATCCGCCCACTTCTTGGACTTATCCCTTCCGTTTTGCGTGCAGTTGGTTCCCTCGGGGAACAACAGGAGCCACATGGGGTTGAGATACTGTTTCCCGTCATGCGTATGTTTGGTCTTTAGCTTTCCCAGTCTGTATGCCAGTCGCTGCTGATCGACCGACATCTTGCGCGCCATGAAGATGAACCCATAGAACATCATGCCTTGGCCCACAATGGGGAGGTACTTGAGCGACTCTTTAAGGATGATGTAGAGGTAGCCGTGCATGCGGGGCGCGTTGGCGTAGCCTACCCACCAGAGGTAGAGCCAGTCGGTGTATATCTGGTGGTTGGCGATCATGACCATGCGCTCGGGAAAGTTGAACTCGACACGGCCGTCGGGGGTCTTTTTGATCTGGCCGGCGACGGAGCCATCGCCGCTGATGCGAATGGTCGTGGGACCCCACCACTGCGTCATAGTCGTGATGGTTAGGCCAAAGGACTCTTTCGTAAGGGCCATGTAGGTGTAGTAGAGGTCGCGATTGATCCAATACAGTGGTGCGCCGAGGAACTGGGTCGCGACGATTCTGCATTACATGTCAGTCAGCTAATGAATGTCCATCCATAGTAGCCCGTCACGGGGGACATACCCAACAGAACATGCTGTGAAGAAGATGGCCAGCGAAACACCCCTAAGAATCTGTATTAAGCGGTTATGCTTCTCCTTGCCCGATGGATGCGCATTCTGGATCGTTTTTGGCGAATCATCATTTGGTTGTACGAGCAGTCCAGCTTGGTCTGGGTTGGGGTTCGTGGAGGCATCGCCGGATGCAATGTCCGGATACGATGCATTCTGACGGAGGTCACCCATGATAGGTGGTGACCGTGTGGTTAATCGAGACAAGTCCAGGGATCGGTAGTCGACGTCGAGATTCGGATAATGATGATGTGCCACGGTGTTGAAAGGCAGCAAGCCGGAACGACAGTGTTTGGGTGTCACCAAGGACCGACAAATAGTTATACAAGAAGAAAAAGAGGGACGAGGTAGGTAGGTAGGCTGCGGTTGTGTTGAAACCCGATCCGCGCGTGCCGGGCGGGCGGGCGCTTGTTGGAGGCTGAGTCGCAGCTTTGTTCGGTGATAACGAACAAGGCAAGGCAATGGAGGGATGACCAGTCGAATAGGTACCTCGGTAGATTACGTAGGCAACCAACAGCCGGCAGCAGTGGGACCAACGAATGATGGATGATGGTGAAGAGATGAAGGTGAAACAACAGCAAGGTAAACAGACAAGGCAGAGAAGAGGTGGAAACAAACACTATGGGAGACACTGGGCGGCAACAGAGGTAGGTTTTGATATGGAATAGTCTGTGTATACACGTGTTGTATGTGGAAAACAGGCAGGTAGGTATGGACAAGGCAGAGAAGCTATTCTGACAGACAGACAGACATCGATTCAGGAACGTGCAACATCGGATGTTGTATCGTCGGCGGTCGGATTGTTGACAGATGCCGCCCGACCCCGAAAGTCCTTCCACTTCAGTTCTGAGCTTCAGCTGTCGTCGTCAGCCCAGCCACGGTCACTGCCGCCGTGTGTCATGCAGGAAGACTGGACCCAAGGGAAGTCATGCGGAGGAAACAAGAGTCCGATAAGAAGCGATAAAGGGAGCTTGGACCACAGTTGATTCCACTTCCCAAAAAGGCTTGGCGTTATGACGGCATTCAGTTGGAGTGACGGCGATGCGAGTGGGATCCCATTGGCCCGATAGCGGCCTTTTCTGTGTTCGGCTTTTGGAGGTAATCGGTTGGAGACCGGAGCGGAGGAGGGAGTTGGAGACTGACTGACATCTTCTCCATCAACTTTTCCATTTCTTCTTTTCTGCCCAAAATGGCTTCTTGATTTCTAATAGTGCCCATCACCGGCACTCGAATAAATCAGTACTCTCCCCACTACATATCGACCACCACCACCATCAAACAATGTCACCATGTCGAGACCCTTATTTCTGGCTCGAAATCGCCACGTCCATTCCATCATCGCTGCCATGGCCCCCAAACAACCACCCAGGATGACCGTCTTCCGCCTTCCGCGAGGGGGAGTCCGGCACTTCTCGGTCTCTGCCGCCCGCAGACAGATCCTCGACATCGCCGCCCTGCCCGATCGCATAGTTCCGCATTACCAACAGACAAAGGCTTCTTCCTTGCTGTCTCTCATCTGGCCCCAGCCGCCGCGCAACGTCCTGCTCATGCCCAAGCTGCATGCGCCACATGTCCTCGTTTCCGCCGCCGAGTTCGCCAAACACATCTACACCAACTACCCCGGCCTCAACCTCGTATTCGAAAGCCATGTCGCAAAGTCCATCCACGACCAGCTGCCCTTCCCCATCTACACGGCCGCCCCAGCCGAGGCCACCACCCTCTTCGCCAACAAGATCGACCTCGTCACCACCATGGGCGGCGACGGCACCATCTTGCGCGCTGCCAGCCTCTTCTCCATGCACCACCAGGTCCCGCCCATTCTTGGGTTCAGCATGGGCACCCTCGGCTTTCTCGGCGAGTGGAAGTTCCAGGAATACAAGCGCGCCTGGCGCGAGTGCTACATGAGCGGCTGCTCTGTCTCGGTCGAGGACCTGGTGGAACCACACACTCAAGTCGCCGCCCGCCAGGCCGCCAACGCCCACCTGACCGATCCCCACAAGGACGACAACACCTTGCAATCTCCCGCCTGGGACACCGTTCGTGGCAACGGCCAATGTATGGGCCTGAATCGCGCCTCCAAGATCCTCCTGCGCCACCGCTTGCGCGTAGGCATATACGACGCCCAAGGCCGGAATATCAATGAACAGCTCCTCCCGACATCCACAGCCGATCCGGGGGACGACATCATCTATCCTAGCCCTGTATCTGCCCCAGGCACTGGCGAAATCACCAAAAAGGCCCCGATCCCCTACCTCCACGCCATCAACGAAGTGTCTATCGACCGTGGCGCCCATCCTCACCTTGCTATAATCGACATCTACGTCAACAATCACTTCCTGACCGAAGCCGTAGCCGACGGTATCCTCATCTCGACGCCCACAGGATCCACTGCCTACTCGTTGTCAGCAGGCGGAAGCATAGTCCACCCATTAGTAAAATCCCTGCTTATCACGCCCATCAGCCCCCGCTCGCTCTCCTTCCGGCCTTTGGTTTTACCATTAAACACCAAGGTCGTTCTGAAACTCAGCAAGAGAAACAGAGGGCGGGAATTGCCCGTAAGCATAGACGGCAAGCGCCGGGTGGCAGTCAGTCACGGAATGGAAGTCCGTGTGGAAGGAGAACGGCTTGAAAAGACGGTCGAGCACGGCTGGCGGGGTGGCGTACCGTGCGTGATACGGTCTAGTTCCAAGGGCGATACAGATGGGATTGCGCAGGATGATGATTCCTGGGTGGGCGGGTTGAATGGGTTGTTGAAGTTTAATTATCCTTTTGGCGGTGGTGAACCGGAGGGGGGGCACTGAAGTGAGGTGGCTGCTGAACGTCAGAACAGATGATTCAGTGTCGGAGGAGTATGTGTCATGGCTAAACAGCCCAAGAATTACCGCACAGGAAGGGGACGGTTCCGTCAGATGAGATCAGGATCAGCGCGCGTGGATTGAAGATGGATGAGACGGAAAACGCCGCGTGGGAAAACGCTGTGACAGGAAGGCCAATACGGGAATCAGAAAGAGCAGGGTTTACTTTCAGTACTTTGTAGCAAGCAAGCAAGCGATAGTCGAGCGTATGTTCAAAAACACGGGAATAACAAAAAAAGCATTGATACCCCTTCACATTCCAAGTTTCCAGTCCCAGTTGTCATTGGCTCCAAGATGAAAATCTCACGTTCTATCAGCTACACTTGTCTGGTCCGGCTTCATCACGCTCCCGTCTTCTTTATTCCTGCCTGTATTGATTGTAACAGTCTTCCTTGTCGGCTGTCTGTAGCCGCACTACCTACTTCCTCTGACTCCTTTCGCCGTGGTAGCCTTACTGTACCCGAATCATGTCGAAAACACGAGACCCGCTCCCGGGTAGGTAGGTAGATAGCAGACATTGATCATGCCAGGAACATGTCAGAATACTCACCATGTACCTAGAAAACGCAATTGCGGCTGCTCCTGGTACCTAGGTACCTACCTTACTCACTATACACATCAACATGTACATACATAGAAGGTACATGCACCTCCACAGGTTTGTAGACAAGACGCGGGCTTTCCAGCTTCGCAAGCTATGGCCAGAAAAAGACATCAAGCTAAAGAAAAAAAAGAAAAAATAACTACCCTATTCCCTTCAGACCAGTGCGTTCGGTGGTAGAGGTAGGTAATGACCATGGTATGTCTAATGGCCATGGCGTTGAAGACGATGACAGTCTACGTACGGCCTAGAGGGACGTGGACTATGGTATGTCTTTCGGTTATGGAAGTCTCCGCAAATGATCAAAGACTCGTTGATATATATATGTATAGCTGTTGGTCACTAGAGAAGTACTGGGGGAGAAAGCGAGAGCAACAGACGGGGGGTTTTAACTTTTAAAATAGGTGGTAAGTTCCTGATTTCGATGACGAGGAGTTTAAAGGCTATCGGGCTTCGCGAGGACATGGAACTGACTGTTCCGGAGAAGGTTCAATGAAGTTGCTGAGGGAAAAAAAAAAAAAAAAAAAAAAAAAAAAAAAAAAAAAAGGACAAAAGGTAATAATACCTCTAAAGAAGGAGGAAAAACAGAGGGAAAAGGGGAGTGAAATAAAACGAGTAAATATGCTGTAAAGATACCTACCGCAGAGGAAATGTACCTAGGTAACAATGAACCAAAGGAGAAAATACCTAGGAAAGGCGAAATCAAGATTGGCAAATCATTTGCCTGGTCACCAGCGTCAATGACCGAGCTAGAATTTAAGGAAAAAAAAAAAAAAANAAAAGCGAGGAAATGTCTACAGAACAAAGACAAACAAGGAAACTTACCTACCTAAATTGCAGCCAGTTATCAGAGTTTTCCACTCGTGATACCTACCTCCTTACCTCCTCACCTCTACCCTCTTTTATATACCTAGGTAGAAGTACGCGTTCAGTTTCCCGTCAGTCAGAGCTGCGGTGAAATGGCTCGTTCCTTCCTCTCCTCCTCCCCCGCCTTTTCTTTCTTTTTCTATTCTCGATGTTGTTTCCATCTTCTTTTTTTTCCTTCTCCTTAAATGTCTTTCTCTCATCCATCCATCCATCCATCCATCCACGTACCCAGAGTGTCCCTCAAAATTCCACATTTTGGCTGAGTACATATAACTACCTACCGCTCGTAATTTATCCCGTAGAGGTAGGTAAGCTTGGTAACCCGAGTAGGTAGAGGTACCTAGTTCCCCTTTAGGAGAGGAAAGGTAATATTCAATAGTAGAGATAGGTAGCTTAGCTCTTAATAGGTTGGTTGTTTGTCCCTAACACTCTAAACTAGAATAGTTAGATTTTAGATCTTGGGTACCTAGATTTTAGATCTCAACTCGGCCCGGCCCGGCCCGGCTCAGCTCAGCTCGGTTCGGCTCAACTCGGCTCGGCTCAACTGTGTGATTCCTTTCTTCTTCTGTCTACCTTACCTACCCGTTTCGATCTAAGGGAACTCACGCTCAAATTATAAAGAGAAAGTTGACATCTACCTACCTCTAGGTACATGTACCTCTACTCATAGAAGGTAGAGACAGGATGGTAGTATGAACCGATACATACATACCTCTACTTAGAGGTACATCTTGCATACCGGGGAATATACCAGTGGGTACCCTATACGCGACCACCAGACCATCAGAATGCCTGCCCCGTTTTTGTCTTGTTTCGTACCTACCTGTAGGATGCTGTCAATCTCTAAACTACCTCTAGTGTAGGTATTTGACGTTTCCGGAGCCGTCATGGTTTTACGACGACCGAGCGAGGACTGGAGATATCTCCGAGGATTCAGTAGCTCCCCAAATCGCAAAACGAGTGTGTTGTGTTTGTGTAAATCGCCAGCCAATGCCAGGCCAGATGAGCTATATCTTACGCGGTCTTCTCTAGCCGATGGATGATGATGGTCCATACCTACCTTACCTAGGTAAGTAATTACAGTTTTTCAGGTCCACGAGTGAACGACTAACGAATGACCAAACGAACGGACGAACAAACGAACGAGGTAGCAAGCGAACTGAGTACCCTGATGTCCAGTCAGTCAAGTCGAACGTGCTATGTACACTACCTGTTCAGAGCAGATAGCCACACTAGGGTACTACCGGTTGCTTGCCAAACCGAGTGAGTCCGCTGTCGCTGCTGATTTTGCCCTGCCCTGTCACGACGACCGGATTCGACTCCGTTCTTGATGTGTCAAAGTGGATTCCAGGTTCCCGCTCTTTTTGTTGGGACAGCTGAAAAGCTGAATGAATAAATGGCCTCAAATCCACTTGAAAGTTGGAAACAGTTCAGCCCCAAAGCACATACGCGACGTGACACTGTGTTGTGCCGTGCCGTGCCGTGCCGTGGTTGGTCATCCGCCTTCTCTTCTCTTCATTTCCCCGGATTCCCCAGATTATCTACCTGTAAGTTTTGCCAGGTTAGAAAGAATGACAAGAGTGCGAAGCTCGACAGATGAGGCGAAAACTGCGCGAGGGGAACGGCACGACACGGCACGACACGGCACGGCACGGCACGGCACGGCCCGCAGCGCCGAGCTATTACGGTTCTAGTTTCGCAGCAAAGTTTCCACTCTAGGCTCCCGTCGTTGTGATCGTACGATAGCGCTGACGGGAGCGCGGGTATCGGCGCTGATAGCATGAAAAAGTGCCCGTGCCTATTCCGATTTCGAAAACCGCGGCCAATCAGGGCAAGTCCTGGACCGGGATGGTTGCTCTTGTCGTCGATCATGTTTTGACGACATCCGGCATTGATAACGGCCACGATATTGACATTCCCTTGAGCGGCCCTGATATATAGATATATATCGCGGTTAATTTTGCGTCCGATCGTGTCGATCGCTTCATCTCTTGTACCGATTAACGATTGGGATGAGTATCAGTGACACTCGAGTGCGGCCGATGTAGCATGTTCTGAATGGGCGTTCGATTGGAGTCCAATGATCGCGTGGAGCTCGAGCATAATTCCTCCATCCTTCGTGATTCATTCCCACATTCCACTTCTCCCCACTGCTGACCTATTATCTAGGACCGTACTCTTCCCCCATCATGTTTTGTTTGTTCGTGTTTTGATGTTGCTTCGACTGTGACAACATTTTTCGTATGTGTTGTCCGGCTTTGTAGTTGATAAGCTGTGTCGCTGTCTGAAGCCGGGTATCCCTTACTTCGATTTGTGGGAACTGGAAGAGCCGCAACCTTAGTTATGGATCAGCCCAACGTTGCACATCGGAGCCTCAACGCTTGTCCTCCTCTTGTACCATTTGTCGTAAAGGACGCTTTCTTTGCTCAAAGGGAGTTGTGGTGTGGGTTGGGCCGGCGAACTATAGTAGGGAGCTTGCGAGCAAGCGTACAGATTGTGGTTATATCATCGGTCGGTCGGCTGCGCCAGTGTTAACTGCTGCCGCAAGGTGTTATTGTTTCGAATGTCGTTGTATCTATGGCGTTGTTACCTCGATAGTTCTTCTTGATATAGGAGGCGGTACTTGCCCGGCTGTAGTAACTAATAGTGTAGAACTCTGGTTCGGGAACGAACTCATTGGAGAGATGTGCTGCTGCTAGTAGACCGGTAGTATAGAGTGCTTTTGGTACCTGGCCGGGCGACGAAGATGAAGGGTCGGGAAGGGATGTAGGTCGATGGCTGTCTTGCCGTTTGGTGTAGGAGTGCGCCCGAGAGAGATACTGGAATCATTCGTTCTGTTGTAACTTTCGAGGCGTTTCTGCGCCGGCTAGTGGCCTCTATTGCAACTTTCGGTACCCCATTGCCCAAGCTTGGGTCTGCTTCAACTGTTCGCGTTGTGCTCTCGTCCACACCGCTGCGTCTGCGGCCGTCCGACAAAGAAGGAGTAGCAGCTGAGTTGCGCCTGCGTGTCGAAATTCAGTTTTGTTGATATATTTCGCATGTTGTCATCGAAGTTTACCTAGTCTGAGAAGTGTTAGCGCTTGGGTAGAATGTCCAGTATGTCATCGGTTGTCCCGAACTTCAGGCAATGTCCATGCGCCGCCTAACGCAGCACGATCGTGAAGTAAATACCACCCTCCTCCTGAAAATTCTGCTACCCTGGCGCAAGCGCCCAGTCCAAGATCCCACATCGCCATCCTATCTCCCAGAACCTCCATGTTCTCCAATCAAATGTTCAATGCTTCTTCTTCCCTTGGACGGGTTCTTTTTTTTTTTTTTTTTTTTTTTTTTCTTTCTCTAAGAGTTCAGTCTCAGAATCGCGATGGGCCAAGAACTCTAAATCCTTCAAATGTCGTACGTCGACGGCGTGGATTGCGTGCGTACACATTGCAGTGATTACACGGGCACAATCCTCCAGGATTGTTGCAGCTGCGGTGACCTACTGGTACCTGTCACGCAACTCATGGATCGCAATCCACCCTTGCTGGCTGGCTTACTTCGCGAACAAGGCTGGGCTGGGCGGCTTGTAGGCGCACTGGCGAAATGGGATGGGGCAGGAGAGCCAACTGGAGCTGGGTTGAAAGTGAATTGGAGGGGAATGACTGGACAATTAGAAGGGTACATGCAGAAATGGCATTGATTGTGCATAAACAAAGAACAAAGGAAGCTTGTCTCTTGTCAGGATCTTCGAACTTTTCTCCGATTGGTATCATTGCATCTCTTTCATGCCTCCGCGTCAGCCGCAGAATATGCCGTGCCCATCCTGACATGCAGAGAGCCGTGGAGTCATTCAGTCATGAAAATCTCTTCCCTTTGATATTCGACACCTGATATCCGGGATCTCGAAATCCAGCAACTCCGGTGCCAAGGAGGTAGAGCCGGATGCGAAAGGTGTAGCAAACCTTGGGCGAATGCTGTTGGCCCTGTAATATGGAAATGGCCCGCGGATTTGACCGAATTTTGTTCCACTCCCAGCCCTCGTGTTCCCTGAGAATCTCCTGTCGTCGTAGGTTCGGCATGGAGCGAAGTGTGCGGTAAGTGGCGGGTAACTGTACACCATATCGGACGTTATTCCCCGGCGGGCCGGTGGTGGTGGAATAACGTTATGCGCTAGTGCTTGATTTCTCATCACTCCGTCCCTGAGATCCACCACGGGAAGCCTCTGCTGTTTGGCGACGAGGTATCCGTTCGTTGGCACCCTATCATTTTTTTTATATCAGCTTTGATGTGACCGCGGCACGATCTCGAGCTCATCACGGGCACTGCAAACGGCAGTATAGAAGTGATGGTGAAGAACACCAGGCGATCATTCACATCACACTGCCATCACACGTACTCCGTCGCGCTCATGACTTGTCTCGGTCCTCGATCTATCATAGCTGGACACGCATACAGCAAGGTAGAACAGATATGCTGGGTGCCACTATTTAGAAGCTAGGAGGTGAAGACGTCGTTAGCAACCGCTTAACCGCTAGAGTGAATTGCTGGCAAGCAGATCGCCAAGCTTCTAATCCCAATCGGGCTTTTGAGCGCTTGCCCATCGGTGCCCATTGCCTGGCACAGCGGCCCGTGTAACTCACTTGGGAAGCTGCCCTGGCTCTAAGGTGAGCTAGAGCAGGTCAACCGTTAAATATCCACCCGCGTGATTCTAGCCGGTATCAACAAAGAGCGGAGATCTTGGCACTGGCCCCCCTTTCCCTTCCTCGCCAAGATGCCACAAATGGAAAATTCGAATAAAGAGCTTACCTATGTCCCTATACAAGAAAATATAAAGCAAGCTCATTTCATTGCCTGCGCATGAGCGTGAGGCTGACACGGCTCAATCGTGCCCCAACAACATAGGAGACACGTAGCAGGGGGGATATCGTTGCGCTTGCTAGTGTTAGTGTTAAGTATGAGACAGCTGTCGGCTTGCTTACCTTTCCATCATGTACTGATGCTTTGATAGCAAGTACATAAGGAACCCTCCGGCTGAAGCCAGTGCTTCCCATGAGGAACGAACCACACATACGAATTGGCGAATGTGATACCTGAAGATTTCCGTACTGTCACTGATGCAGTGGCTGATTAGTTAGTGGGTGTTTTCATGATCTGGATGGGAATACGTGGTGCATTGGACTGGGATAAACCCGGATGCTTTCCCCTGGAGATGGACAATGGGAGCTTGCCAGAGCCCCCTAAGGGTGTCTTGACTTACTACAGCACCTGCCTAAAGCAATATCGATGGCAACGTGTGCCTATTTGTCTTCATGCTGTCCTGACGGCGACCTGGTCTCGAACCTGAAATGGCTATCGTGACCACCGCCGCCATGGTGGCTTGGCCCCTAGCAAGAACAGCCGTATAACTAACCACCCTGTCTAACTCCATTCGCGTCACGTCCGAATGTGAGTTGGCCTTTGACCCGTTCATGAGAGGCAAGACGGTGCAGTGGATATCTGGAGCACACCATTATACCTTGTATTGAGTTTGTGTGGAGCCAGAGATCAAGACCAAGACTGTAGAATGACGAAGATGAACCTCTCTGGACGATTCCTTTCTCCCCGGAATGCGAGACCTTGTCGTCGTAACCGGGCGGGGTGCCGGGCGGTACTTCCTAGTGTACAATCGGAGACATCATACGACGTGGACCGAAGACTGTAGCACAAGCTGCTGGTTGACTCCTCCATGCTGATTCGAGACTTGGGGTTAAGTGCCAGCCACCATTCCCACGTATTGGTGCGCTTGTTGGACTATCTTATTCACAAGCTATCGGAACCTCGAAGCCGAGGTGCCATTACAAGCTCGCGGTGCTGAAAATAAGTAGCAAAATGTTAGTAGTAGGGTAGCTGATGAGGTGGATTCTTCATCTCGCCCAGTATCACTGGTGGGCAGTGGTGTCGTTGATCTTGGATACCTCTACTCTTGTAGCACGGTAGGCAACCTCGGCACATTATCATGAACTTTGGGACTCCTCAGACTCAGTCGATGTACATCCCTCCTAGACCGGTTGAAAAGCGGAAACTCGCTTGCGGCCCACGCCTGGTTTTGTAAATATTGATACACAGTTGGTAAGCCTGGCCTGTGCGAGAATACGACGAAGCTTGGGACATGGTTCGGGGTACGTTCAAGCACTCATTCGTAGGTGCTTGACCTGGATCGGTGGGTGCTGAAATCTCACTGTAGAGAAGTCTCTTCGAACCCCCCGCCTATGATAGGTTCAGGAACGATACGAATGGTGCGCCATGTCTCAGAGGCCGACTCTTCACTGCCCAACATGTAACGTGTCCAAACTCTTATCGCCTTTTCTGGAACCAGATTGCCCGAAGATATGCATCTCACCATCCATGTCCCTTGTCCAAGACGACGACGGAGAGGACAGGAAAGGAATGTGTACAGCGCACTGCCTTTCATCTTTCTGGCGGTGGTCACATTGCAGAAGTAATCCCATCAGGACGGCCCCTGCTCAAGTATGCAATGACACACACAAATATTCATCAACCCCGATCATGGCCATGATCACCGATCTCTGCGTATGAATGCTGTCTTCAAGAAAGTGAAGGGATCTGAGAGCAGCGGCGCAGCAAGCAGTGTTGTGGGGTGATAGAGCAAGACTGCAAGGTCCAATTGCCGGCTTGGAGCAGCTGGCCACAGAGGATCAAGAGTAGCAAGCGCGGCATGCTATTCCGTCTTCGGTAGCGACAATGTTGCGGGAATGCCAGTTGAGGGGACAGACACATCGTCTTGATGACAGGGTGGGATTGACCGGATTATCAGGGGTTTCGTTTCGTTGCAAGGCAGGTAGGTAGGTACCTTTTGAAGGCCAGTTGAAGACGCACCATGACCATCTTGAGCTAGTGATGGTATCCAAGTATCCGCCAGACCGACCCGCCATCATGTCAAGACGAGCATGTAGGATTAGGAGAGGCCCAACAATAATAATAAAGAAACAAGAAAAAGGCGAAAGCCTTTCATCTGCGATAGTCTGTATGCTGCACAGCAATCCTTCAGTATCGTCGTGGGATCTTGGAACTTCTTTCGTGCTCTGTACTCTATTGTTTGAAGTGGTCCGCTGGTGTTGGATGAGTGTACTCAATAATGGCTCGCTTCGGATCAGCTTTTTGGGGGGCTCGCTCGGAAGCATTAGCCAAATCCGGGCCGAAATCCTGGTACTCTCGCCTCTTCTTCCATATCCTGAACACCATCTCACAGCTTGGCATGGCTCACAGGACCAATATGTGAGCTGGATCAACTGCGTGCATCATCCTTCGTGTATGGTGTATGCACATTAGCAACAGCAACGCCGTCAATACGTGTACAAGCAGACTCGTCATGTAGAACAGACTTTCATCTTGCTGTGGAACTGGCCATGCAAAACACTTCAACCTTCTCGTGAGAGGCCGTAAGCCGCTCCTGACATGTACCTCGCCCAAGAGCTCGGGATAAACACGTAGATCGAGTGACCGAGAGAGGTACTGCATGTATCCCCTTGACTCGGGGCTACTAATGCTGTATAGCGAGCGTCTGTGATTGTTGTACGTAACAGCATGCTTCAGTCAGCTTTTGCACTGTCTTTTATCCCATATATCCTGGGTTGCTAGAAACGTATAGAATAGTCCTTATCGGAATTGAAGGCTGACATGAAGCGTTGTCGCGTGGTAAATCTGGGCCGACATAGGATTGTAGGCTGTTGAAGCCAAAACCCCATTCTCTTTCGTCTTATCGTAGCGAGGCCTTCTTAGAGTCAAACCCCGAGTTAACTACCAGCACTGTTTAAGGGGATCAGTATCACTGATGGCTGTAGTACCTTGTTCGTTGTTTGTCCCCACATGGGATGCCAAACTGTAACCCCATCAAGCCGACTCTTCTAGACAGTTCTCGCGCAACGTCAAGTCGAGGTACACTAACAAGTTTTCCATTGGCAGAGTAAAGGAATGGAACTCTCAAGACCTCTGGCCTCTGCGTTCACGGTGACGAGGCACTTAATTTTCTACCACGACTTGATGCTGAAGAGGCAGAGCTGTGACCAGCACAACGCAGGAAATGTGGAGGGTGAACTTTCCCCGATTTGTCGAGGTTGCCAGACAAATGGATTCATCCAGTGCAAGTCAGAGGCCAGGGCAAATGTATGTAGTCGCAATGTAGCGGGCGTGAAGAGCGAAATACATGGTGAAGAGCCGCCATGATGTTGTTGATGGGTATCTCGCGGATCTTGCAACGACGTTTTCGGAAATGGATCGAGTTTACCAAGTATTCCCAGCAGTCACCGTTTCATCCAGTACTGTCGTTTTTGCATCAAAGTGGTGTAGTTGGCATCTGGCATACCGCAAATTTTCAGTCGCAACGGAACCCTCACTCGGGGATAGCCATACTCGGGCTTTGTTCTGAGCTTGTTCGTAGCTCTGCATATGCAGCATCTTCCAAACCGGATTGGCTCATAAACCTTGTACTATCCACAAAGCATATCCGGTACAGTATTGTCCCCTGCAACTACATCCTCCAGATACTGCATATATGCTAGAGGTACCTAGTTAGCGCATAGAATTTCGCTGGCTGATATACATGCAGTTTCAGGGGACAATACTGTACAACTGTGTGGTGTAGATGCGTCATGCGGTCTACAGCACATCGAGCGTCCCGAAGAGTGACAGAAGCTACTTCCCCGCGACCCTGGTCCCTGCTAAGGTTCCATCGCGCGCCTTGAACCGTTCGGCGGAAGAACAGGGGCACGGGTTGATTCCTGGCGGTTTATTCACAACGTCCCTGAGAACCCGCTCACTTGGATACAGATACATCGGTGCGTGAATGGACGGAGCTCATTGGGAAGTACAGCTGACGCATCAGGCTGGGAGTGGGATGACGAAACGGATGCTACGAGCATTGTTGAATTCTCGGCTTGGTATGTGTCTGAAACCCAAGGAGGGGTTATTGTTTTCTTTGTGATCAAACGTGCTTTCGCATCTCAACGGTGTAGACCTTGGTGATGTACAAACAATCCCAGTTCATGAGACTCTGCCACTACTGAAAATCCCTCCTTTATGATCCTGTCTCTATTCGTGTACGCTTTTGAGACCCTATGAAAGAAGAGGAAGAGAAATTGTGAGAGTTCGTAAGTCATGACGCGTGATGTGAGGCGTGACAATAAGACGACAAAGGCATTGCGGGGGAAACATTGGAGAACAACCACTTGTAGCGGCCCGGAATGAATGAGATGGCGCAATGGTAACGAGATGCTGACCCTAGATTCAGGTTGAGTGTCATGGTTCGTTATTCCCGCCATTCACGTCATCTTCATCGTCCAGGACAAATGCTGCCGAGCCAGCCGTGTACTTTGGTGGCTTGTACTCGTGGGACGGAGCAAGCGGATATTCTCTGCGCGTAACTCCAGTCGGATATCCGTCTCCATTGGGGCCAAAGGCGGCCTCCCAGGGCACTCTCATGGACTCGGGGACCTTCCAACCTGACTCGGAGTCCCTGAGCCACAATCTAACAAGGTGACGACCGGGGCCGTCTTTCGGATCCTTGTACGAATCCCTCGCGTGTATGAGGGCCCAGTTGTTGATGAAAAGAATATCCCCAGGCCTAGTATCTAGCATCAACCGATGTCTGGTCGCGAGCTCAGACAGAATTTCAAGGGCTTGGAGGTGCGAAGTGGTGAGGCTTGGAATGGAAGAGCTCAGGCCGGCTTTAGCGGTGACGGGATGGAGACCCAGACGGCCCGGATCGGCGCTGAGATAGACCCTATTGTTGAAGATTTGCACCAAAGGTGCGACAATGTGTCGGGGAGGATTTCCAGAACTATGGATAACCCCTGCAGCGTCAGCACATGCTTGAGCAAATGGGTTTTTGGGATGTGACAGGTTGTATCTCGGGACTAGCCGAAAGACAACAAGATTTCCAGGGACGTACACTTGGATTGGCCAGCATGGCTCACACAAAAGTTCAAGAGCTTGAGGGTATGACGTCGCCAATTCCTTGTATATGGTCCATGAAGAAGCCACGAAGGTGTTACCGCCCTCCTCGGCCAATGATCGAACGTGAAGCGCAATCACATCGGTGCCCATATCATTATGCCAGGCCTATTGTACATTAGCAAATTGTTTGAATGCCGGGCTTTGACTTGTGCATGAGAGTTAACAGATCATGAAGACTTACCAAGCCGGTGTTGGTGTGGATACCGTGACGGAGTTCAGAAGGAACAGTCCAGGATTTGGACGCAGTTACATGACCTATCAGAGACTTGTCAGTAACTTTTGTGCTGCCATGGTAATATAGGAGTACCAGGTAGCTCTCAAGGTTGGTATACTTACTGAGCATGGACCCTTGCTTGTCCTGAGCACCTCTCACATCTCCAATGTAGCTCGCCAAGCCCAGGAACATGTTGTTGTTATTCTGGGCCGAATCAGAAAGGCCGATGCCCCTAATAATGACAAACCCCTGACCTTCATGGACTTGACGTCTGGCCTCATCCAGCACGACATGGAAAGTGGGGAGGGGAAAGCTGGCCTTGTTGATTGCATCCCCAGCAAGTCCAAGGTCTGGATATCGTCAGAAATTGAGATATTTTGTCATTCATGAACATATGGTACTGACCGGCGCAGGCTTGCAACGCCTGTCGAACTTCCTCGATCCCTTTTTCGTCTACGTGGATAACAGGTGACTTGGCAGGGAGGATGACATTCCCAGCCATCGAACCAACAAGACCGAGGTTGAGATTATTTGGAGGGGGAGCACCAGACTCTCGCTGCAGTGGTTTCTCCCGAGCCTTGATAGTTCCGAGCTTCTCCATGTCAGGCACAGGAATCCAAGAATAAGGCAGTCAGAGGCATATGTGAAGATGAAAAGTCGATATGTCAGATGAGGGGTGGTAGAGCAGTCGTCACCTGGGTATCATCGTGAAGAAAAGGAACGCCATTTATGTCTTTCTCGTCGGTGCCCTGTTCAACGGAGACATTCGTGTTTGTTGGCCTATTAGAGGTTGATGATTGGCCTGGCAGAGATTGTCCCAGGGGGCAACGGAAGGGGGCACATTGGTGTGGGTCATCAAACAGCTTGCCTTTTGTGAAGCATCTCGACGCCCAAGGTCGCTCAACATCCCGTGCGGAGAGGCCCAAATTTGACAAGACCAAGCCGGCATCCGTTATCGCACATCGTTGGGCGTTCGTGGACTCGTGGCGAGGGCGGTCGTCCTGTGGGTTAGACCGGTGGGTGTCATGGAATCAAGTCAAGCACGGAGGAGAATGCTGAGACGACGTATTTCCGTGGCAAGAGCCAATATTGGTCCAGCAATGGAAAATGAGGGGGCTTGGAATTAGCGGCATATGTTCCTTCGGACACGACTGACAGTGGCCCCCAGTTGGCGCGCGGACCCTTATGAAAAGATGCGTTGTAAAAAAATAAGCTTAGGACGAAGGACTATATCGGATAAAACCCATTGTCGAACTCGGGGAGACTCTGATAGTCCAAAGAGGAATGGACGAACAAAGGCTCCATGCTCCTGGTTCACCGGTATAAGCAATCATGTGGCGAGTACGGATAGTTCATGATTGCTCACCTGGCCCATGGGTCCGCCGGCAGTAGGAACTGCATCATTCTTAGATCTGGGTTAAAGCCCGGCGTGTCTTGTGGATTTCTGAGGGCCCACAGTCGTTCGTGTAGAGAATTTTTCTTTCCCCATCATGCAGCTCAGATGGTACATCACTTGACAGCCGTCCAATGCCGGGCTTGCTGACACCTGATACGTCAAGAGCTCGGCTGCTACAGCAAGGTGGTAGTCGTTTGGGGCAAGTCGAAGAAGGCTTTCAGGGACCAAAGCTCGACCAGTAAGATGCCGCCGATGTGCATTCCAGAAGTGGGCAGCTTGGGGGCTGGCGCTGTCGTGGTGATGTCGACATGCTGTTAGCTAAATCAAACCGAATACCTAGTGTAGTTGCATCTGTAGGAGGAGCGAACTGGTGCTTGAACGGCGGGTCTCGCGGATCATCCTTGGAAAAAGACGAGAGCTCTGTCGTTGAGGCGGGCAACTGATGTCATGCACCAGAGGAGCTGCATGTTATCGTTGACGGTAATACTGCGTTATGCAACACCGCCGCTGCAACCATGGACGGGGAAGATTGTCGACATGGCTGCTTCAGATTTGCTGCGAAGAATTCCAATATCCGGGAATACGCCGTTGGTTTTCCGGGTTGCTGTCCTCGGGCTGCCAGCTCGACAAACAAGGACCGGCAGGGAGGCAAAGCGGACGTTCCATGATGACAGGCTTGGAAGATCCGGTCGGTCTCCGGACAATGCGGTCAAGTCAAGCAGTGCCGAGTGTCTCGTTTCTCGGTCGAGGGACCACAGCGAGACCACCAGCACATCAACGAGAAGGCTGATCAATGCGACTGGCACCGGCTGCTGGGTTCGGTGGCTGTCGAGAGATGTGCCGTGACAGCAATGTATGATGAGCAGTGGCTTCCACTCTGCATGCTCCGTCCAGCTGGGGCTGTCCGTCCCGTCTCTCGTGTAACCAGACCAATCCGCCGGAGACTAGAGAAGGAGAAGGGCAAGGGAAAGGAAAAGGGTTACTAGCTAAGAAGGGTTAAGTCCAGGGCACCGGGGCCTAGTACGCCCTCGTCGTCGAAACCCTCAAATCAAGGGACTGAAGAAAGAGGACGATCAGGGCATGGGGCGAGGAGCGAGCCTGGAGTATCCAGCTTGGGGTATCCGACTTGACAGCTTGCGATTCGGGGGTTCAAAGGTTCGACTATCCTTGTTGGATGTGTCTGGATCGGAGAGTGTCAGTAGACGAGTATAGGCGGTCCTGTCGTTCTGTATCATTGTATTGAACGTACTACTGATACGGTTCAACTTGGTAATAATTGAAAGAGAGCGAGTGTGTGTATGCGGTGGTGGAGTGATGCTAGAGGTAGCCATAGAAAGTGGGTTTCCAGGACCAGGAGAAGACGGAAGATCGGCGACATTGACGCGAGATGGTCAATCAACCATGTCTGGAGGAACATTGCGCCATTGATTGGCTTGATTGGTAGTACCGGCGGTCTGGTCTGAGGTTCGAAGTTGAGGAGGGAAAAAAAAAAAAAAAAAAAAAAAAAAAAATCACGGTGGAAGCCGGCGTAAAGGACGAGACACCGTCAGACGTCGATGGACAGTTAGTTGGTGGTCGAGCGAAGTCGCGAATAGAGACCCAAATGGAGAATGGCCTGATGCTGCTGGGTGCTCCAAGTTCGTTCCTCGGCTACAAATTCCTGGACGTTGCTTTCTTCTTCTTAGTTGCTTCAGGTTGGCAGAGGTTGTGCTACTGTGGAGAGATGCCTGTTGCGTCCGCCGACTCTCCCAAGTGGAAGACGGGACGCGTACGGTTGACGACTTTGGAGGAAGACCTAAGGACTCAGGAAGGAGCAACAAGCCACCCCGGGCCGCCTGCAGTCGGGTGACATGGATATAAGACAGCGAGGGCAGTGAGTGGCGGCAGGCACTGTATGTTTCGACACCGTACTTGCGGTACGTGAAATGAGCATGTGTGTGCGGCTATCAATGGTCGCCTTTTATCAAAAAATACATTTGTTGTCGCAGTTACACTGGGCTAAGTGAAGGTAGCTTTGATAGTACCAGTCTCAAGGATGAAAATTAGGTATCATTACATGTCCAACAGAACAAACACCATCCACTCACTCACTTTGGATCTTTCATTGCCGTCCAAACAACAAGTGAGACACGGTCACAAAATGCACATACATACCTACATACATATATACATACATAGATTGATCGTGCCGACAACATGTTACCGGGTAATGGGAGCCAGCGTACGTCTCGGAGGTTTGGCCGTGGGCGACTTGTCGAATTCCGTCGTAACATGTATTGGTACTGTCATTCTGTCAAGCGCGACATGGAACTCGCAGTGGTGCACTGCACTTTCCATTCGGCGTCAGTCAACTTTTGGTAGCGTCCCCCCAGATGTGGAAGGAACGCTCACGTTGCACACACCGGTTTCCTTCAACGCTGCAGTCCCGTTGGTCGAACAGGCATCCGAACTGAACCATGATGCACTGCACCGTGACTGCCCGGCAATGACAAGTGGAAGGGAACTGAATTTCACTGACACGGGACGGAACTGTTCACTTCTTTCCCTTTTTTACCTTATCCATTTGGGCGCCTTCATCTTCCACTCCGTCTGTCCCTTTCCACTTGCCAGACACTCCAGTCCTTCCTGGGGCTGCATGTCTCTTTTCCTCACTGGCAGTCCAGTCTTCAGCCTGCCATCATTTGTGACGGCTCGTCGAACGTGGATCTAGTGGTCTTCAGCATCAGACTACCTTGGTTACGATGCCAGATGTGCCCGTCCAGATGTGTCGACAGCGAGTGTTGGGCAACAAGGGGCATCGAGGGACATCGAGGGGCAGGCAGGGATATGGATCGAGGTCGCCGGCTTCCCTCGTCGTTTCGTTCCCAATCGCCAACCAACCCCGCCATCCAAGAGCTGGGATGCTACACTACTATTAGCGCACCATGGACACCACCCATCATTCATACATCCAAGAATATTCACGCCCTTGTGCCTTTATTTGAACGATTTGCACCTCGGTTTCAAGGCAAGGCAGCTTCCCCAGCTTTATTGCCTCCCCCAACACTGGTTGAATGCCGTGAGAATTGACTGGTGTACCTAGGCCGTCACCCAATGAGAGGCAGCAGGGGCAGCTCAAAGGGTTCTTCTCAAACACCCTCATGGCTAGTTCTTTCCTGGTCCTTCCTCCCACATGTGATCAAGCTCCCTCGCCTTTTTTTTTTTCTTCTTTTTAAATTTCAATTTTTTCCCCGGGGGGG